AGCCACCCTTTTTGCGCAGTTCATGGCCTCAAATTGCCTTACAAATTAACGTTTTGTAAAATTAATAATGAAAACACAAGTATCCCCTACACATGGATTTGAAATACAATTTTTAAAGTCAGAAAATGTTATCTTTTTTAGATTGTTTCGCAATCTGTTATTTGCTCTTTGGGCACAGATAAAGAAAAATCCTCATTTAATTTTCAAAAGATTTATTGTTTAGTGAATTTGTGATACTCTAAACATCCTGAAATTGAAGTGTAATTCATCAAAATGATAACATTTTTTTCATATTAAAATTTATGTTAATGCTCGGTCCATTCTACGTACATATTCATCCGTAAAAGAAAGCAATATTAGCGTGATAATTACATTCGTATGTGTGGATATTGATACATCTACTTTGTTTTGATATTTAAAACTATAACCTTTTACTTAACATATTTGTCTGATAAGTTTTTACACATGTACGGTAATAGAACAGTGTTCTTTAATTAATATTCCATATCGTAGTTGTAAGAGGCATGTGTGTGAATGAATACACAAAATGTCTTTGCCAGCTAAAGTTAATAAAGAAAACTTTCGACTTTTGGACCTTTCTAGTGATGAAGAATCGGAGGATTTGCAGTTAGAAATAATACCAAATAGAAAAAAGAAAATAACAAGGTTACCACTGTTTACCATTATTTATAAATACTGAATATAATCTTTTTATGTTGTGTTTGTACCTACAATTGAACCTGGATGAGCGAGAGCTTTCTCTCCCAACTTTTGTCTCATGGAGGTTGTGCATTGCGACCTGACAAGGCAATACATTTCTCACTTTTCCAAGTCCAACATTATGACATAAATATGTAGAATTTTCATTTTTAAATTCAATATTTAAATAGAACTAGCATATTAAGTATTTATACTTATCTTACAAACATGTAATTCCATTCCAGAAAAGAGAGAAATCGTACAGTACCACCCAAGGAACCAAATGTTGGTTCGGAAGTGCAATGTGCCTTAAAATGGGCTGTGCGAGGCACCCTCTTGTTGTGGCTTCTGATGCTAACATGGATTTGTGCAGCGCTTTATGACCAAGTGTCCATCATGAAGCTAGATATTGCAAAAGGTATGTAATGTATTTAAGTAATTGCTGTAAGTCAATATTAAAGTTTGTTAGAAACACTTCTTACATATATATATGTTAATGTAATTTAGACTGTAATTTTTCCAAACAATTTGAAATAGTTCACAAAAAATTTTCAAAGACACAGTTTGCATATTACCATTGTTGTGCATATTGTAATAAGCTGGACAAACTTATACTCTGATTGATTTTAACAGTGGTTGAGCCCGCTTTAACATCTTCATATGAATTGGCCCGGCTTACCCGGTGAAATACCACAACCACACATAAGACAGGCATGAAGTGGAAACAATTCCATTTGATGAGTGTGCATCCCGGAGGTCTAATTTAGTTCTCTTTCCCTTCCCACCCTTTTTCTTATAAGGAAAGGATGGGAAGCAGAGGTGGACTTTATGGATGAGGGGATGCATGGTAATATTTTATTTCTGTGCATCCTCTCCTCCGTCGATTAAAGGTAGGCAATGCATATGCAATTGCGTATGTCTATGGGCAACGGTCACTTCGGTGTTTCAGCGATTTCAGGTGGCCGCTTGCCCTTTTGCCACCTTGTGACATAAAAAAAAATTGAATCATAAAAGGGAGATTTTTAGGTGATCTGTAACCAGTACCACTAATATCCCCATACAACATTGTAACAGTCTGAACATATGGTCTGTGGCCTGTTGTGGCCTCACAGCACAGTTCGTTATTTAAATGACACATTGTGTTACATTGATATAAAACCTACATCAATACTAGGGAAACTAGTTTTCGTACAATTTCCATTACATAGCTAAAACTTAGTAAACTCAATAACTAGACCATAGTAGAACATGTACAAAAACTTCCAGTAAAACGCATTTGTTTTCAAACAATCTTACATTGTCTTTTTAAAGGCCATCTCAGTATATTTACATTCCTCTTTTTTCGAATTTAGAGTTCTCCCAGTATATTTTTAATTTGATGTAAGTACTTTTCATGTCATAAATAAATATTATAAAGATCATTATGACTATACGTAATATAAACAAACATTATTATCTCCCGCGCGTGACCATTTGCGGCAGCGCTACTATCAAGAAGTAAAAGTCGGTCTATATTCGTAGTCGCGACTGCCGTGTTGTGGCTTCACTCTTAAATAAAAAAATTCAGTAATGTAGTTGAATTTGAATCTCTTGTATGTCATCTAGAATCTCTATATCCGTGTTATCTGTGTACGCATGCGTCGTATAGTTCTTAGTGACGTCATCTTTAGTTCTAGCTCGATCCTCATAGGCCCTTGAGCTGCTGGTGATAATAACAATCCCTACTTACATATTATTGTTATTAAGTACAATTATATTTCAGTGTGATAGTGTTTACGTGAGTTGATGTAATAAAGTGTTTAATTGAGTGAGCTAAATGTTTTGCGACTTCGGAATTTTGCAATGCCATTAAAATTCAAAATGTGTTGCTTTTTTTATAATTTTATAAATTTTTATTGTTGGCCAGTATTATCTTTTAGTTTTTTTTAATGGTTCTATTTTTTATTGTGGTTTGATGGCTTTACGTTTCTTGTGGCGTGCCGCAGCTCGCACGCATGCGCACTCCTTCATTCACTGCGTACTGGGCCGTAGGTCGATAACGCCCCGTAGTTTAGTACATATAATAGGTCCCTTGTTAATATATCTTATCACTAATTCATACTAATGGTATAATATGACGCATACGTATAAGACATAACGTTTAGCCATTGCCATTTGTACTGTGTTGTAATTTTTTTAATTCTCAAAACATATTAATTTTTTACATAATGATGAAGAAATGCAATGTTTGTGAAATACGCTAAGTGTTTTGACTTTTATATTGGTTTTATATACAAAATGCCTTTGTTGTTACTAAACACATTCATTAAACCTAAAAGAAGTTTTTGAGATCTAGTTGTTGACCTATTAAAGTGTTAACGTCTACTTGGACTACCAGGAGGTTCATTATTCGCGTACATATTTTAATATTGATCATTTGAATGTTATTTTAAAAGAATTTATTAACTTGCAACTTTCCTTTAAAGTCTCGAAATATATTAAAACTGGTGACCTTTGGCGAATTGCATGCAAATTATACAATTACCTCGATCATCAAGGCGATTAATGTTACGTACGTTTTCCCTACATAGTTAAGATGTTATATTCTGACAAGAATAGCGTTCAAATTCACAATACGTTTGGGAAGTAAATCTTCACCGCTACGTGAGTCAGCCATTGTTCTCGGCACTAATATCATTGTCACACATATGGCATGCCTTTTTGCTATGGGGCATATATACGTTAGTCATCTTTCTTAGCAATTTGAACTAATGATTTACATTAAATGTAATGAAAGTAGTTAAAAATTGTATATCTCCTGGATTAGTAGCAGAGTTAGGATAGGGTCAGATGGGGCGACCGCCCAGGGCGCCGGGCATAAGAGGGCGCCGCAAGCTCCAGAGACGTTTAAAATAGGGCGCCTGTGGTGTCACCTAAGATACCCTATCTTTGAAAGATTTCCCCCGATACCAAAAAAGGGGTCGCTCAGGGCGCCGGTAATGCTATAACCGGACCTATCCTATATTGTATTAACCAGTCACCAGTTATCCAATTAAAAGTCGTAAGTTGGATAGTACTTTTTATAACTTATAATGCCTTACGACGGGTTCCATTTGTTACGTATTGCAACCTTATCAGTTTAGCGAACATTTGATAAAAGAATATTATTGTTACATGACTAACGACATAGGCCTCGTTTGTGCGTAGTAAATGCATGTTTTATAGAAATGCTCATATTTCTTTCATCGAATTTGTGTATGGTTAGTCGAGTTAAATGTTTTTGGTATTCATCAGTTTGTTTTAATTTACCTACAAGTCTACTGGGGTCTACGCCCTTGCCTTTTTTAATAGGACCGTATCCAAAAACTACTTTCCAATTTCATTAGGTCTTCACTTCAATGTGCTAGGCACCCAAAGTTTTTTTTATTTTTTTTTTATACAATTAAAACACGAATTCGTAAATGCTTTTAAACAATGAGTTTTTACCTCATTTATAATTAATTTTATTTATATTACCCGCTCGTGTGATGTTAACTTCCCAATTAAATTTTACATACTTAAATGGTCTTTCGTTAAAAATACAGTTTTAAAATAATGTTAAAACAGTAACTTGCTCGGTCGCTGTAAACTGGGATACACTGACCCACTTCACGTCCGAGATAAATTCAAAGGGTGTCTTATTTCTACGAGTTTGTAAAGCGCGACAATGTTGCTATTGTCAAACAGGAGAAAGGTTCATATTGCTGAAGATATTGTTAGCTTTAAACTAACGTTAGCGGATTAAACTGAAATTGTATCTCTTTTTTATTAACATGACATATTATTAGCGTTGTATAGTATTTTTCAAATATGTAGACGGCTCGGAATATCGTTCGAGTCGTTGTGCAGAGCACAATATTTAGTGTACCGGGTCATAAAGGGATCACAGCAAGCAGATGACCTTGTGCTGCCAAAATATTTGAAAATACTTTATACCTATTTTACTGTCCTAGTTTGTAGCAGTCTTTGTATCCCTTTGTTTTACTTTGAAAGTTACGTCATAATATCATGGTATTAAATACCTTTCAAGATAGTACCTTATTTTAAACATCTGATTTTTGTATTGCGCAATGAAAGGTGTTATTGCAGCTGCTGCACACCACAGACCAGGCAAATTTTTTTCTTATTAATTTAGGAAGTGAAATGTCTTTCCTTCTAAACGTAAATTTCAAGATCAAGGCTACCGAATCTATACGACCGGAGGTACAAAGTGTCAATGTCGACGAGTAAACGACCTTAATATAATGAACGGCTAATTTAACAACTGCGACTTAATTCACTCGACATCGTTTGTCACGTAAGCCATTGCGGGCTGTTTGGTCATTTTATGGCAATGATAGATTCATTTAGTGATATTACTCATTCTGCCCGTGACACTTTTACCTTAAAGGCAGAAAACGCAACTATTAATTACTAATATAAGGCACATATTTAATTATTTTATTGTATTTAAGCATATTATAGCTAAAGTTATTGATCATCTTCTGGAATTATAAATTCACGAATCCATTACTTGCATCTAGAATAGTATAAAGTTACTTTTCAAATTTAAATTAACTTTAACATTTTTAAACAAAGTTTTTAAACGATTCTTTTTTAAAGATATAAACATCGGAACAAAGTTAATAACACAAGCACGTGTGATAAATATTTCTTATTAATAGATCACAGCGCCTTGATAAAGTTTCTTTCACCCGCTTTGTCTAGAAGGCAGCACGGTCTGTCGCCTACCTGATTTCCTTACACGTCTGTACTGAGTACTGAGAAGTCGTACAGCCGCTCACTTGTTGTACAGTTGCTGTCTCGTGCGCTCGTGTCGATTCAAAGTGAGAGTGTGTGATAAGTGACAGTAGATACAGTGTGGTGCGGATGCGTTTACGGTAGCGTTTTAGTGCGGTATGGAGAGCGCGGTGCACGCGGCAGTGCCGCTGCGCGTCGGCAAGAAGATGCGAAAGAGGAGAGAACTAGACGCTCTGGTCGGTGGCGCCGGCTCTAGAGGAGGAAGGTTGTTGTCGGCTTCTAGTGATGAAGGGGAACCGTGGGGTAGAAGGAGCTCTAGAAGACGACGTTCGCGCCCTTTTCTCCGTCTCGCCGCGGCGCTTGCGCTGTGTGTATGCGTGGTGTCCGCGGCAACTGTGCTATGGTTGTTCGTTGATGTACGGCGGCAGATAGTCTCGCTTCGCATCGAAATGGACAGAGGTTCGTTTGTCGCGCGGATTTGAGTGTAGGCGTTTATCTGCTTTTATGCTTATCTTCGTTAGATCCGCCAGTGTCGTAATGTATTGCTATAATTATGAAAATAGCGTTTGTATGAGCACAATTCAAATAAATATTTGAATACATTAGGCAAGAAATAAAAACATTAAAAATACTAATACCGAATTAAAGATGAGATCATTGTTTGTCAATAACAAAACCCTTATGTGTGCAAAGTTCACTTCATATAATCAGGTACCGTGTGGCGAGCATAAGATGTCTTTCGTAACGCACGCTATCAAGACAAAATCGATATGTTATTTCTGCCATGATCTATTTAACTAGTGATAGTTTATCATGTCTGGCCGTCACTAAACAAACACTTAAATTGAAGGTGTGCCGACATTATTGACGATTGTATTTATCTTAATACATTCAGTAACAGATTGATATGAACACGTCTGTGATAATCAAATAACATTAGACTAGAAAATAGACTACCTGGACTAGACATCTGCATAACTTATAGTAATAAATTTTAAAAATTACTGTATACGAACCAAATGACACCTAGAGACAATATTTTAATAAAGTTTCTATTGTTTGGAGATTTGTTAATTAAGCAAACAATCGAAATGACGTCAAAAGAATTAAGTAGTTTTGTTAAAATGCAAGACTTTTTTGCATATTAACAATAGAAACAAAAAGTTTTATAGCTTAGTATAATATCTAATGATTAGGTCAAAAGATTAAATTATTATGTAGTTAATAGTAGAATAAGATATCTTATTAAAATTGTTAATATTTATAATAAAAGATTGGCAACTTTCTAGCTACCATTACTATAATACATTTAACTATCCTATAATTTATTTGTTCAGCTTTCACTTGTGACTTTGTTTATATATCACTTATGCGTGTCAAATTAACCTGTTTAGTATCACAGACGCATTTAAATACTAATTGATTTCAAGGTTAAATCTTAAATCTGCGTAGTGGTTCTGCAAGTTTATTGATACCGTATAAAAATGTTGGAAAACTCAAAATGTCTTACTTATTCTTTGTTGTATAATTTCAGCTTGAATAAGCAACTCTAACTACTTGATTTTTCAAGTATTTTTACTTTGACCAGAACAAAACAACGTACAATGATTTATAAACAAAACTAGTATTGTCATTTCTACGTAAGCCAATTAGTACAGTTGTAGATGTTAATTGAAATAGATGAGTTGAGGTTATATTTGTTTCAGTATCAACGAGCAGCGACAGCGTTGGTGATGCGCTACAGGTGTGCCACAGCGCCGCCAAGGAGTTGCGAGCGAACGCGACCAGCTTGCATGAGCGGCTGACGAGGCTGGAAGGAGAGCATGCTGAGCTGGCTCGGCGTGCGCAACAGACCGCCGTAGAACTGGCCTCAGTTGCCGACCAGTTAGCCGCCGCGCCCAAGCTAGCTGATACTCCGCGCCGACTTGCCGAGCTGCAGCGGACTGTCGGCGATATTGGCTCGCAGGTAACTAACTAACTAGTATCTTTGATATTATTCCGATGCCAGTAACATAATAAAAGTCGCAGTTGCACGGAGCGTCTTATACGACATTGTGCAAGGCGGAAGTGTTGGATGGTAGTTATCCTTCCGCTATTCAGGTCTCCTCTCTAATATATTGCAGTCATGATTTGCTTTAAGAACACTCCTTTCCATAATTTTGGTTACTTTTGGAAACTAATAAGATGAGTTTATACATCATTATTGCTATCTAGTATAGTGATAGCTATAAGTCCCAGTAAATGTTAAGTTAAGAAAAAAATATTTTTTTTGAACTGCGATCGTTTTGTTCCAGATAAATAGTTTCGAAGGCGCGTTAAACTCAGCTCGTAAATTAGCGTTGACGGCCACGACAGGTGTGGATGAGGTGAAAACCTCTCTACACCAGCTTGAGCTAAGAAGTAATGAGACCATTGCCAACGTCACCAGCAACACCAAAAAGGATGATGACCTCAAGGAACAAGTTGCTACACTCAATGCAACGCTCCTCAGCAAAGTCAATAACCTTGAATCGAGGATAGAGGAGTTTAATGTAAGTATCTACCATATCTTATTCGCTAGGAATAAATAAAATATTCTTCGTTCTACTACTTCTGTGTAGTATGCTACAATAGCTTAAAAGACATGTTTATTAAGGTTTTTTTTTTAATTAGTGTACTTTTTTTGCCAGTTGGCAATTCCAGTATACAGTTCCATCCTTAGAAAAATCTTTTGCGGCCGGTAGTTTTGAGATTTGTGTATCTATTACAGAAGCCAGTAAATACTTCGGTCCCGACTCCCACGTCTACATCTACGTCTACAACCAGTTCTACGAGCACCACCACAACTCAGACTCCAGGTAACGTGCTTTTCAACTTTATAGCGCCTTAACTTAAGGGTGCGTCCACATGTGGCTAAGTGCGCGCATGTTTTTGTACATTATCGATTCATGCGTAGCTAACGATCTGCGCATTCGCCAGATGTGCACGCACCCTTACATACCTCCACGAAATAAAGGAGACCTCTGGTTTCTGATTTAAAGGCATTTTGGTCATCGTAGAATGTCGAAATTCTTTTTGTATGCATATCATCTGTAAATAAAGTTTGTATTTGAGTGGCTTACTATATAATATACGATATTATATTTTAATAATATATAATGTCCGGTTAAAGCACTTAGTTAAATTCCACATCGTTAGGACAACAATATTTTATGTTAATTTTACTCTTTACATATTCAAATACTTGTGTTTTACGTATTTATTTTTGAATTGCGTCGTTATTAGTGATCGCCAAAAATAATTTTTCGTTTCAATAGTTGTGTTATGTTACTTTGTTTTTTTAATATATATTGTTCGTGTAGTTTTTACTTAAATAGTTTACTTGTTGACAGTCACATGATTCGCTTCGTCAGACATAGAGTTCGATGACGTTATAGTTATGTACTTGTACAGTGTACAAAAAATATTGAAAAATTGGGTCTAGGGATCAATCTTAAAAGACTAACATAGTGTACTATTTTTTGGCACGTTGTTAATTATAGCAACGCACTTGAATATGTCTAACACGAGTGACCGCGATGTATTGCATTCTAAGCAAGTCTGATTTTTTTTATGAAAGTAATAATCCGTCGTCTTAGTGGCCTGTATAAAGTATGCAATTCCAGTATTGTTTTTAAAGTATATTTATACTCTTTACTTACGAAAAATCATGATTTTTTAATCTTAAAAAATGCAGCTATTTGAAACAATTCCATCGTCGTTCGCAATAAATTATCTTAATAAAATAGTTGTTTATATGTGAATCAATGAAAGTAATGTTAAGGTCATATAAAGTGCATATAAAATTATTTTCCTGACGCTTATATCGTCAGGGTTTTTAATTGACCTTTGTTGAGGTCAACTTGTCTCGCTACAAATAACCCTTTTGTAGTCGATGAAACCATACTTCCTTAAGTAAATTGAAAAACACTAATCGAAACCGTGCTCTATTATTTATTCACCTTGAATTTTACACACAAATTATAGCGGATAAAGAAAAGTACGAAACTAATATTTTTTTTTTTATAAAAAAAATATTTTTTCCTAACATCGTGTTTTCCTTTAGGTATAAGAAATGCAAAATTGTTCAGGTCAGATTATAAACTCACGGGGCATTGCCGAAAGTTAATAAACTGTGGAATAAAATCGTTAAATTTAATATAATACGTTTTAAAAGTTTAATAGGTTTTTATCTCTTGATTTCATAACCTTTCAGAGATGTTCAGATAATGTCTGTCGCGTAGATTCTTATTCTATTTTCCTATCTTTTCCAGGGCCTCCGGTGAAACCGCCCATTTTACGACACTGAAAAGCAATATTCCGTATTGCAAACAAGTTTTAGTGATAATGATTGCTCACTATCTTGTCTCAAGTAACAGCAATACGTCCTCAAGACAATTTTATAAATAAGGCAAAAAATTATCGTTTAAAAAAATACCCTCCATGTTTTAGGCGTATTGAAATCTATAGAAAGGAACTTGTTAGTGATTGTGTAAATTTTGAAGCGAACGGAAAATAAGAAGGCATTTATTTAGATGTACTACATCGAAGTTTGTCAGTGTCGGAATATCAACGAGCTAACGACGAACTGGGGTAAACAGTGATAACTCGATTTGATACCATTGTAAATATTTATAATGACTTTACATAGTTTAATTTGGACATACGTGATGTTATAATGTGGTCACACTGAGTGTTATTGTCAGCAAATGTGTGAGTTACGAAAATAAATTATTGTTATATTTGTTGGTTTTATTATCTTCCTTATTTCTAACTTCGGACCAGCGACAAGTTTTATTTTTTTTATATTTGAAATACTGAGAGATTTTATAATCTTTTTTTTTGTTATATGTCGTGGGTATATAACATTCAAAATATTGATTTAATATGCATATGATTTTATTTACAGGATATTAACAGTTCAAATTATAATTTTCACGATACAGATAATAAAAAGTTGTCTATGATTTAACGATTCCGACGCTCCTAGCGACATCTGCAAACGCGTCTACAGCTTGCTTTATGTCTTGTGGCGTGTGCGCTGCGCTTATTTGAACTCTCACTCGAGCACCGCCTTTTGGTACCACTGGATAACTGAATGCCACCACGTAAATGCCACGCTCTGAAAATATAAAACAAATTTTACTTATGAATTTGGTTTAACGGAATTACTAAAAGGTAAATTGTTATAACAAATTTGCAGACAATATTTGTTTAAATACAATTATTAAGAAGTTAATGCAAGTCATTCTTAGGCAATGGATAATTTCCTTAGAAAATTGTTTTATTTAATATATATACTAATTGAACAAGAGGTAAGTTTGAATTCGAAGAATGAATTGCGATTTTCAATTATTTAGGAATTAATTATAAGAGACCGTAACTAAAAACAGGTGAGTTAAACTGTCGTTTCATCAAGCGATTTAAAAGGTATATCATACCGAGCATTCCAGTAGCTAGGTCGACGGCAAGCGGTGCCTCGCCGACCATAACTGGGCAGATGGGGTGGTCATCTCCAGCCACAGTCAGTCCAGCCGCTTGCAGCCCCGCGCGGAATGCACGCGTGTTCTCGCGCAGTCGCTGACGAAGCTCACCACTGTGCTCCACCAGATCTAGTGACTGAAATACGATATGTGTGAAATGGAGATATAATCAAGAGTTAAGTAAGTACTATAAATATTGGTTACTTAAATAACTTCAAATATTTTGGTTTGTTATGTATTTTAAAACATACGATGCGGTAAAAATATTTGAGATATGATAATAATTAACAAACTGCAATATTGCGTTGTCTTAAAGTTTTATTTTTTTTATTTCAAGTTAATATTCATATTTAATAAGCATTTTTACCTTCAACGAAGCGGCAACCACAGGCGGTGGTGGTGCGTTAGAGAACAGATAAGGACGAGACACGTTCCTGAGCAGAGTGACGAGCTCGCGCGGGCCCGTAGTGTACCCACCCGCCGCACCGCTCACAGCCTTGCCCAGCGTCGAGCAGATGATGTCCGCCGCGCCCATAACACCGCAGTACTCTTCTGTTCCCCTGGTACATGTCACAAATTATTACTGCCTCGCTCAGATTCCTTAATTGGTCTATAAGGGACACCCTTAGCTATTATGAGAGATAAAGTTACAAATTACATTTATAATTGGTTTACAAATTAATTCTGGGAAAAGTTCGGTTGTAAAAAAATCTAAGTAGGTATAGTATTTTTCTAGTCGAGTAGCGCGGTACACAGGGAAGCAGATTACCTTGAGCCAAGATATTTGAGAAGATTTATGTCAAGTATTTACCGTCCCGTATCGCCAAAGAAGCCGGTAGCGTGGCTGTCGTCGACGGCGAGTAGCGCTCGGTATTTATCTGCTAGATTGCGCAGACCCTTGATTGGTGCGACCGTTCCATCCATAGAAAATACGCCATCTGTCACTATCAGCTTTAGTCTCGCCTCGCTATGCGCTAACAGATGTTCCAGTTCTGTTTAACAAATTAAATATTTATTAATAAGTAAAATGCATTTTTAGCAATTCCATAATTTGGGAGTGAAGTATGAAGACGCCTTAGGCAAATATTTCGTTACACGACAGAGAAGAAAGACAAAGTAGGTAGAGAAAAAGAGACAGAACTACGGAGTATCTTTTCTATATTTCTTTTTGATCTTTGTCAGATCTTTTATGACAATAATATCTGAGATATATTCATACCATTGAGATCTCTGTGAGGGTACCGGAATTTCTGCGCTTTGCACAGACGAATACCGTCTATTATAGACGCATGGTTAAGCGCATCTGAGAATACGGCGTCCTCTGGTGTCAGCATCGACTCGAACAGACCCGCGTTCGCATCGAAACACGAGCCATAGAGTATAGTGTCCTCTCGACCGTGGAATTTAGAAAGACGTTCTTCTAATTCCTGTATACCAAATACAATAATTAGGATCAAGGTTAACGTCATGAACAATTAATTATACACATTAAGTTAATTAAAGTTAATCAAAAGTATTAATAAAGTACCTTATGTATAGTTTGTGTTCCGCAAATGAACCGTACAGAACTTAAGCCTGCGCCATAATTTTTTAATCCTTCCCGCGCTGCCTCTACTACTTCTGGATGATTCTGCAATAATAATTAAATTAAAAAATAGGTCATATAGTTGTAAGGGTTAAAAAATTATCATACATTTCAATATGATATTAATTGCGTAAGTACTTACAGAAAGTCCTAAGTAGTTATTGGCGCAGAAATTTAAAAACTGGCCTTCTGCTCCTTTTACTTTCACCTAAAATATATTTTAACGAAATTAAAAAAAAACAACATCTAATTTGATGTCATTAATTAACACGGTGGAAATCATTAAATCATAATATCCTGTGAAAATTAAATTTACAGACATAATGCAATGAGCAGGAAAATACGAAAACGAAAACAAGGTTACCCTCATTATACGAGGTTATACACAGGAAATTGATAAATTCGAGGATAAAATAAAATCTCATCTGGACCGAAGTTGATAAATAAAAACAAATACTAAGAGAATAACCAAAAACCTGTTTTGATATAGGTTTATTTTTATTTGGTCAATAATTTATCAGAATATAAACATCATATACTACACGAATATATACAAAATGTTCTCGTGTCTGTAGTTATAACGCCTACGCAAATCACCGAATGTAGCTCGATAAGAACTTTATAAGCGAAATTTTGTATGAGAACTAAAATAAACCAAAACTTATATAGACTTAACCTTTGAAACAAAAATTATACATAGAGTTAAAATTTGTGAAATTAGAATAATCGATAGACTAACTTGTGAATTTTAAATGTCCTTACTTACATTCTCAAGGTTTCACAAGGTGACTGCCTCTTGAGGTAAACATAAGATATGATAGATTGATAAGATAAACACCTAATTATTACCATGACGGTGAAACAAGTTAATTTCTTAGTTATTTTTTTTAAATATTTGTTACGTAAATAATACCTTAGTATCCTGAGGTGAGGTCAGTACTCTCTCGTGTTTCCAGGTCTTAGCTTTCTTTATCTCTTGCAATCTATCCTCCAATACTTCTCTCAGTCTAATCACACCCGCTCTATCCTTCTTCTTAAGCTCATGCAACTTACGGATTTGTTGGCCATTGAACACTGAAACCGTAAACAAAAATGTTCAAGAATGGTTTTTTATTCAATCGATATTTTAACCCTTTAACAGCTTCCTGATCGAGCCCTAGATGTGCTTCAAGTTCTCAATACATTCATTGACATATTATATTTGTCTTATTTGACCGCTAAATTACCTAACTTAACAAAAACATAGATCGGTGTAAAAACTGTTTCATGTTACATTTTAAACACGTTTTAAATATAGATGTTCATTGTACACTATTCATAAAGATAAGCATTTGCTTCAGAAAGTTGCTAATTTATGCAATAAGATAAACAAGTATCCTACTTCAATATCTTTGGTGTTAAAATGTAAATAGTATATAATATAATTAAAGGTTGTAAATAAATGAAAAATGAGTACATTTTATTTGTAATATTTGTATGAGTTAAGATTATGTGTACCTATACATTGTCGTCAAGGCTTTTCACTTCGCAAGAGCCTTAAGTTAACGACCTTAACCCATTAATAACGTAACATATATTTCGAATTAATGAACTGTTAAAATCGATTTACGAATAAACGGGAATAAAAAAAAATGTTGGCAGAAAGGTTAAAGCATCGTACCAATTATAAAAAAAAAATACCTGTGCGGAGGAGTTGTGAGCGCGCCGCCATAGCGTCGAATGGCGGGCTGGCGGGAGGCGCGCCGATGACGCTTCGATACTCCGTTGTTCAGAGGCGTTGGCGACCGGTTGGTACAGTTACCGGCAAAATTATCGAACAAGATCTTGGCTGCGCAGAAGCACATTTTAAGTCTAATTTCTTTGATTCTTTGAATAAGTAATTCCTCTTTAATAAATATCCATAATCACAAGATAAGAGATACATTTTGTTTGCATTATGTGCACAACACGTACTCTTTCACCATACCTCTACTGCATAAGTATTTTTCCGTCATCTGTACTGGCGCCTTTTGACTTTTAACTCTTAGTAGACCTGTTACACTGGTTTCAGATAACGTAGACGTAGTTAACACAAGGAAGGAATGAAACTGGAGCCTTACAAACATTTAAACTTTATGTTTGAAGTAAATAGTTACTATCTACTATTACATACTTTGTAAGAGTTATAAGAACACATAGTAGAATGAATATTTTCTTTTATTACTTGAAATACTTGTAGGTACTCTACATTTAAACTTTGTAAATGTTGAAATTAACATTAAAATATTGAAATTACGATGATATTAACAACTTTCGATTGACGATAATAATTAAAAAAAAAATAACTTTCTTAAGTATTCCTTGTGCATTATTGTTTATTTTACATTGGTAAAGTATAAGACGGAGATTAGTTAAATAACAACAATTACAAGTGTTATTTGGGGTAATAAAAGTATGTATTAATATTTAACCATTTTATTAATCAAACAAAGGCAAACCGTCGATTCCATTCGCCGCTTTTTAGAATTGTCATGGAAAAATCACAACCGGCTCTGCAAGAAACACAATTAAAATTAATGTTTACTTAATAGCTATCCAATATCAACGAAAAAGATATAGTAACGTGATTTGCTGATTTCATCGTATTTTGCTCAAACAAATCAACAATATTTTTTTTTCTTGACTTACCTCAGGACCAACATGTATGGCCAACATCATGTCATAATCATTTGCGCCAACGAAGATCTGTGCGAATCCATTGCTGCCAACAGTCACAGTCTTACCACGACAAGAGTTGTTCACCTTATCCCCAGATATCACATCACAGTATCTACCAGCGGGAAGACAAGTCTGAAATAATACCAAATTTGCTATGTAAGTACTTAATGTATTATTATTTCAGCTGTGTTATTTTTAGTTATTATTATAGTTATTTTTTTATCACAACTACTGCAAACAAATTTATTCGATGTCATTTTTTTATTTGCAGACTTTCGGTTATGCTAAAATCCAACTGCATGACTTTCTGGAAGCCTAGTAAGAAGAATCTACTCTAAACGATGGTAACATAGTTAAAAGTTTCGCATCTCGATAAAATACCTGTAAATTTTGATTAAGATCCCAAAGGTCGTTGTTGAAAGCAATAAATGCGTTTCCACCGCGGCAGAAGGCGATCTGATTGCTACCGTTGTCCCACCAATTAGTGAGGGCGGCGGAGGCTGCTGCGTTCCTGAACCCGACCATCGCGTAGATCTGCCTCCAACGATGTTGGCACACCCACCCATTACCGCACGTTCCATCCTGGACAAAATATTGATTACTAAAATAGAATAAAAACTTTTTAACTCTTTAAATTAACTTAAAATAACACTATTTACCGAATTAATTGCAGGAGAAATAATATTCCCGTTTCGGTCCATCGGTGGTCCAACTTCAGAGTCCCAGAAATCAAAGCTACTCATAATTTGGGGTTCACCGTACGGATGCGCAAGTAGGAAGGCGATCGCTCCTTTGTATGGGCGAGGTTCTTTATACGTCAAGATTCCACCTCCGCCGCCGTGCCCTCTTTCGTTGTCATGATTATCAATAAAGGTGAGAGAATCGCTGTGGGATAAAAGACCCCACTGTGGACCCCAGGTCGATAGCCATCGAAGTTGATTGTTTCTTCTGAACGCGTTACTAAGTTCCCTACCAGCTAGAAACTCGGTGACAGCTCCTAATGGAGTGTACTCATCTCTGCTAATAGCTTCGCCACCGTAATCTATTACTTCTTGATAAATGTAAGGTCGTGCATTTGCTGGGAACCCGTGTGCAGTGTTTAAATTCTTCAAACGATTGTAAATGATCCTTAAATCTTGAGGCCACATGTGTTTCGCTGCATCAATCCTTAACATATTGAATAAGTTTATACAAAATATTGTTGTTAAAGCTTTTTATAAAGATGTATTAAAAGGTGTAACATTATTTAAACAATAGCTTCTTACCTAAAGCCAGCTACGCCGTGGTCTATAAGTCTGTTCATGAAGTCAACAATTCTGTTTCTAACATGCTCGTCAGCCTGATTTAAATCTTTTAATCCGACAAGTTCACAATTACGGACCTTTAATTAAAAAAATATTGTTCAAATGCAAAGAAAAAAGTTTCGCATTTCTGTACCTAACAAGATTTTACACACTCAACTTACTCTCCACGCATTAGTCACATAATCCATGCCATCTATAACACAATGCGGCCAGTTAAAGTGCTCTCTCCTGTAGGGCACCGCTGGGTAGTACCAGTCCCGGTATGAAGCTGTGTTACCCGCAGTACCGTAGTTCTCCGGAGGCTCGCCTGTCATGTGATTTATTACTGCGTCCACATAAATCCTACATCAGAAGTCGAAGTATTAGTGACATATATGTATATACACATAAAAGTTGTGATAGAAGCCGCCCCTCTTTTGTCCACAGTTGTAAAAGATCTCATCAATTCTTATGTGTGTTTAAGCTTTCATTTTTGTAAAAATATTTAATAATGGGTTAAAGAGGTCGTAATGGAAATGTCACTAAAAGATATAAAAGTAATCACGGAAATCTTACTTCTTACTAATATCATAAATGCGAATGTACAACAGTACGTAGGCCACTAATTACGTTTTATTTTTCATTCAGTGTGAACGGAGTAACGGGCGACAGCTAGCAAGAGAAAAAATTGACCTGACACCAGCGGCATTGCAGCGACGGACCATGTCGGCGAATTGACGCTCATCGCCTGATCGTGTCACCAGTGCATAGGAAATAGGCTGGTATCTCTCCCACCATGGTCGATTGTACGTCCATAACACCACATTCTCATTTGGAGGTGATATCTAGTAGACGATATAACGTAAGAATTGGTAATAAAAACTCAGATTTTACTTATGGAATGTTTCTAAATGTTACCTGTATACCGCCGTATCCCTTTGGCCCCAAGAATCTTTCGCATTCGTTTGCTATGTCGGTCCATTTCCATTCAAATAAATGGACGTTAACAGACCTGCGAGGAGCATAGTAGGGGTTCTTGTAAGCCCTGACTACAGTTAGTAGCAGTAGTCCAGCTAATAGCTTCCACTATAAACAAAAAATTCATACCTTGTATGAAATTATTAAAAAAAACCCTATAGATATGGCCAATCATGCAGAATCATACAAAAGACTCAACGTACAACCTTTTTTATAAACCTACGACTACGATTTATCAAGAATAATGGCAAGAACAGCGTCCGTTTTATTATGACTTTAATTTGTGATTGAAACTATTATGCCCGGCAATGGAGCTTAGTAACTGCTATATACACAATCGTATTGATAATACATGTTGCTAAGCCAAGCTTGACGTAAATACAAATAGGAAAGACAAGTGCAAGAGTTTTACGCATAGGAATTGGATTTCCAGAATTCTACTACTGTATTACCTCCTACAAAATATTGAGGTCTTCTTCTCCGCTAATGAAGATAGATTAATTAAAAACGAGATTTTGTATATTTACATTAGATACGACTTACTTACCATTATACAATAACAACACTGTACTGAACAGAATCTTATCTCATGATAATGCAGACCACCAACTTTTTAATAATCGCTTGATAGTTTATCTTTATTATGTTAATTTGTTTTTGATTTTATAAAACTAATTTAACTACTTATATGGAAATGTAAATAAAACTTAGAGTCTTCATTACTTCTCTTTAAACTGACTTATATTTTAATTACGAATGTTTGGATGTATGGACAGATGTTTGTTGGATACCTTCCAAAAAACATCTATCTCCGGAAAGGCTGCATCTTGATGTGGTATTGATATAGAACACAGGTTACATGGTATAACAGAATATTGTCAGAAGTCTAGCGTCTACGATGCATTGCAGCGCCATCTCGCTCTATCTTAGTCAATTTGCATTGCTGAAACATCCAAAAATATGTTGTCACCTCAGAGAAAACAATCTTTCTTTTTGTATTAATGTTTCGAAGGTGAGAAAGATTAGGGACTATACAATGACGGTTTAGCTCTACCAGCGCCCATGGTAAAATTACAATTTTTTATGTCTTTGGAGGGGTTTATTCGCAGACCTGTGGCGCCCAGCACCCTTAGGCGGTCGCTCAACCCCGATCTATCCTAATGCAGCCATGGGGCTAAGCGTTTTATCCTGACTATGTCAAACTGAATGTCTTCTGTGTAAAAGTGAGTCAAACTTTAAATACACAGAAAATGAGGATTAGACAATGACCAATTTCCTGTGTTGAACTTTTGTAAACCAACTCACTGGACGACGATTTGTATTTTTTATTAGCTGTCTGACCGAGAAAATGTTGGTAGCTTTGCCAATTAAATTGAAAGTTCGTTTAGTTTATATTGGTAGTTTTTGGTAAAATGTTTAATTTACATGCGGTAACACTGAAACATACAAGTTCGAGTTGAATGAGTTGACTTCATTTTCATTCACTTCACTTGTCACTTCATCTTAATTTCATTCATTTTAAGTTGTTTAAGCAAAGAACACGTAAAAAACTTTAAACACTGCGTCTGCCTAATTCCTTAGTTGTTTAAGTCAAAAAGTTTAGTTATGTGGTGGAATTAATTAATAGAATTTAAATCCATAGGAGTTGTTTCTTTTGTAAATTACTTTAATTGTTATTCTACTGGGTTTGAAATATTAGAAAACAAATAATATACATTCTGTTTATTTTCCTATTTTGAGTGTGTTTTTCACTGACCATGGCTAATAAAATCTACTTCGTTTTTGCGGTCATATGTATTGTGCCAATAATATACGCTTGTAATGAAGCAATATGTGCAAGTGTTGTGTCCAAATGCATGCTCACCCAATCCTGCAAATGTGATCTAAAGGACTGTTCATGTTGCAAGGATTGTTTTAACTGCCTTAGCTACTTATATAGTGAATGTTGCAGTTGCGTTGGTAAGTTGATACTTTAATTTTTATTTATAAGAATAGTGGAGCCAAGCTCAGTAGACTATCACGAAGACATTTATTTGACCAGACCAAGACCCACTCTTGGCTGTAGTGCCTCTTATGTTGAGTAACTCCCTACACACTCTCAACTATAAAATTTTGTTCTAAGAAGCCTTCTTTCCATTTATACTTCTTAAAATGCAATTTTAATGGGAATGAATATTATGTAGACCCTTATTGTTAAATAGAAATGTAACCGGATGATTTTAGTAAATATTTAAACAAATGATATCTTTACAGATATGTGTCCGAAGCCTAATGACACACAGACAGAGCTATCAAAGTCATCTCATGTAGAAGAACTGACCGATGGAGTGCCGGGACTATTTGCAGCTTTGACAAGTGAGCCTGACCCTCAGCAAAGGTGGCTGTCTATTACATACCCAGTGGATATTGACCTCTCCGCATATAGACCTGGAAACCCTGAAAGACAAGTGGTGTATCATTTACGTAAGTTCCTTTAATTTTAAATGTCTATAAAAAATATTCAGAGATTCATGGACAAAAAAACTTTTGGGACTTGACAACATAGACAATACAGAGCAATAAATAACAGAAATAGTAAAAAAAAACCTGAAAGAAGTATTATTAATTTAATTCTATTTATTATATATCAATCATTATAGAAATATAAAATGTTAAAGACCATTTAAATAAAACAAAACGTTGTCCTCTATAACTTTGATAGTTAATAGTGGGTATTGTGTATGAATAATTATTGTATATGTATGTAAATCACAAAGGAATTTTCAGAATAGAACCCACAGGCAATCTGGAATTGATACCATAGTATTAATATTTTTCTGTGGATCTTAGTAAAAATGGTAAATTAAACTTAGAATGTAAAAGATTTACCTAACCATAATCCAGTTTTAAGCATTGAGTGATCAGAAAAGGTTTATTGATATTTTCTAGGGTTACTTGTTTTTCATATTAGCAGTTGCCTGCGACTCTGCCCGCAAAGAATATAAAAGCATGTTAAACTAAAAAATAGCTTAAGTTAGTCCCCCACTCATAAGCCACCAGTTAGAACAAAGATTTGTATACAGACTGACAGAAACCTTTATAAAATAGATTTTCGTTAAAAGCAAACCAAAACATCGTTTTCTCGAAATATGATTATTCAATATTACATACAAACATTCCCTTTTTTTATTGTATTAATATAAATTCTGACTGACTTAAGCTCCCCGGTAGTTATAAGGTTCCAGGTAAATAACAATAAAAAACTATGGCGCCTACTTTGTGAGTCACTGGTAGGAATGCTAATCTCCCATCTACCTGACAAGCGTCGCTTCCTTTGATGATACTATTGTCTTAATTTTTAGATATTCATTTGTTTAACACCATAACGGTGTTTTAATCGTATTTTTTTTGATGTTTCCGAATAATATCTGCTTAACAAATATAGTTATTCTGTGGTTTAAAAAGTTTCGTACAACAAAAGTAAAACGGGTATGGTTCGTAAATTTGGATTCAGCATTTTTCTAAGAAATGTATTATAATCCCTCTTTTATTCGTAACTGCCCATTTAACAAGGATAATGATTTTCAAGAATATGTACATAAAGCTTTTTAAACCAGTAAGTACGCGCCAATATTTATCAAAAATCGAAACTAACTTTAACAAATAAAATGCGTAAAAATTAATTTTTGAACTAAACAATAACTAATTGGAACAAAAGTTGTTACATAGCGCGCATAATCCACACACAGATAATGACACAAGTTGATATACATGTTGTTACACATGTTTTGTATGCGTTTATTTCACAGAGAGTGTAGAACAAGAGCCAGAGCCGGTGAGCCGTGACGTGGTGACATTCAACTGTACCGTAGCTTATATGTCGCAGTGCATGTCTTGTGACAAATGCCGCGCCTCCTGCCGTTCCATGGGCTCCAATAGTTTCAGGTTACATACACACAAATTAAATAGTTAATAAGAGAACGCTTAGTGTAGGTTCTATGGAAAGTCTGCATAAAGTTACTGTTTATGCGATTAAAAGATTCGACTTTTATCACAACAATCTTGTAGGATTTAGTCTTGTATCTATACCAAACATAATTCCTGGTTAAAGATAAATAGCCTAATGTTTAGAATTTAAATTCGTCCCTTATCTTTATAATAAAACTAGCGGTGGCCCGCGTCTCGTTTCGCGTCCAATTAAAAAAAAAGCATAATTAGTAGCCTATGTGTTCTTCTAGAATATGTTCTATATGTATGCCATATTTCATCGAGATCCGTTCAGCCGTTCTGGAGATATTTTCAAACATCCATACATTCATATAAACTTTCGCATACATAAGAGTAAGGATAAAAAAAAACTTGAAATGTTCTAATATAGTAAAAACTATTATATTCATATGTAGGATAATATTTCCAGATGGTTCCACGACGGTTGTTGCGAGTGCATCGGTGAGAAGTGCCTGTACTACGGAATCAATGAGAGCAGGTAAACACGCCGAGTGATGTTAACCGCACACTGACTCACGTACAGATTTAAATAGATTGCCTTAATGCGAACGCGATACGCATTTGAAGTTATTCGCATAAGATCAACATTTGTTTTTAATTTGAAAATGTTTGTAGAATATTGGAAACTTGCTTTTGCCGTTGACTCCTTGACTTGACCGTAGCCTATGTATATTACCAGACTACGTCATACATCTGTGCCAAATTTCATTGAGATCTATGCAGTCGTTCTGAAGATAGCTTTATACAAGCATATATACAGACATTAACAAATTTATAATATTAGTTTGACATTTATTTTATCGTTGATTTTTTAAACCTAAAATCCCTGTATAAAACATATTGTTATCTCTGTTTTGTCAAAGATTAGACGGATAAGGTTAAAACATGATCGTCTTGTTTTATACAGGGGATTTTGGTTTCAGAAACCAACGCAACGCAACAACTCCATAATATGAGTATTTGAACAAAGCTTTTGCCATTTGCTAAGATGAAAAGTGCTTTTTGCGACGTAAATTGTGGTGCTTTTCCGTCGGAAGTGAATAATCATTATACTAAATGTTGAATTAAATGATACGGCTTGCTGGCTCTAGCACACCTGTCCACCGAGGCCGTCATTATCATATAGATTTGTGCAAATAATATTGGATATCAAGTTACTGTCAGGTGTTGCTCATAAATTATAAAATTTAATTATCATTCATTTTGACGGTTGCTAAATGGTGATTAACTGACGATTATTATATAAATAATATTTTGGATCAAATTCTCTGCTGTAAACATATGTTTTTTTTTTACGAAATGTCTTGTAATTTGAGTATAATATGGTCCATGTACTAGGTCCATAACATCAAGACGTAAAGAAGACGAGATCATTTCTGACTTATCTTAGCTTTCTGAGATGAAAATCTCTGTAAAACATATGATCATCTCTCTCATTATCTTTAACAAAATAGAGATAACAATATGTTTTAAACGGGGATTTTGGTCTCAGAAACCCACGTGAATAAAGCTAATTTTAAATTACTTTCAGAAATAAACTTCCTCTCATTTACTATCATCCAGCTATCCAAGATATAAAATTTCACTTCAATTTATTTCCTATATTACTGATACACATAACACAAAATTCAGCCGATTAGTCTAAAGCTTATAAGTAAACAGTCATAAATTAGTATCTTTGTAAAATGTCATAATAATATTGCATATACGAATAAAAAAAAACTTTTTTGTCTATTGATTAAAATACATATAAAAAATTCCAGATGTTTGTCCTGTCCTGGTGGTAAGGAGACTACTGTGAACACATTAGACGAAGACCTGAGTTACGATGACCTGGATTACGGAGAAGATGTAGATGCACAATCTGTTTAGTAATATTTATTAATTTTAAGTTATATTTTTATGATATTTTCTTAGCCATGATTTTAAAATTGTCTTAGTTTTAAGTAATGTATTTTAAAATGGTAATTATTTTTACACTTGCTTATAAAAAAGCATACGATATACTCATGTTATTCTATTATTTTTAGATTTTTAGTTAATTTCTTCAATGACAATGTACTCGAATTTAATAAACACGTTAGCTGCCATGTCGGACTATATTGACAAACTAATGTTTCAATCAGGCCTTGTGGGACTACGTGTCGGACAAGCCATACAGCGAGTCAATTTATTTTCGTATTTCGAAAAATCATTCTGGCAGCTAACGTGTTAATAATGAAAAAAAGTTTATTAATAACTCTATTTTAATATAGAAGAACAAAAAAACTACATGACAATTATTTTTTGATTAAATACTTATTTTTGCCATTTTTCAGCTTTAAAATATCTCTCAGTTTTATGTATATTTTTTTTAATAATTATCTTTTTGGCAAAAGTATTAAGCAAATGTGATGTTAAATGATCTGCTTATATTATTGTATTTCTTATCCGTCCAATATAATTTTAGAATAAGTAAAAATTTTATATCGAAATTTGTAATCTGCTATTATTATAATAAACATGTCAAAATTTTGTAAAAAAAAGGCTGTACGGCTTAGTTCCTTTGCCTGCTCTCTCGAGCCAACAATAAAAACAATCTGTAAAAAAAAGTATGTTTTACAATCACAGTACATTTTTCAAATAACAAATTTTCAACTAATAATGATTAATTTTAATAATTAAATAATAACTTTCTAATATAAGGAATTAAGCTTAACACTGCATTTTCTTGTGTAACCGTGGGTTTCTGAGACCAAAAACTCTGTATTAATCTGTCGTTATCTTTGAGCAAACAGAAATAACATTGTGTTTAAACGGATATTTTGGTCTTAGAATCCCACAGTGAGTTTTAAAAAATAAAAGTTGTATTACAGTGCCATCTTACGGAAGCTTAAGGTACCTGCGCATAAAATTCTTTGAAAAAATATTTTTATTTTCTGTAAGAGACCGCAAAATAGTACTGGGAATCATTACAATTACAAAAAAATTATGATTTTAATGAGATATTCATGAATAATATTATTTTATTTACTATATTTATTAATCCTCTTTTGTATTTACCCGTTTAAGACTATTTATAGCCGACTTCATTATTATTTTTCTTAGTTAAAAAAAAATAATATAAAATATTATTATAATAGTTAGTTAATTTCAAAAAATGTTTTGTATACTTTTCTAAAAGTCTCGGAAGTGCCAAATTCGTTGCTTGTACAAAATATTATGCCATTATATTTTAAGATTTTAGTTTTTAACTTAAGAAGAGACCTAGGTTAGATTCTTTTCGTAAAAAAAAAGTCAACACAAAACTTTTCTTCGTGTAAGTCGTATGTCTTTTGCTTTACTCATAAAAATATAAAAAAAAGAAAGCAATTCGTGAAAAAATGTCCATTTTTTTTCTTTTCCACGACCATACAGAAACAGCCGTGAAGTGGAAGCAATTCCGCGTTTCGTCTGATGAGTGTGCGTCCCGGAGGCCTCTTTCCTTTCCTACCCTTTTTCTCTAATAAGGAAAGGATGGGAAGTGTAAGTGGACATTCCGGATGAGAGGATGCATGGAATGGAAAAATGTTTTCTTTCTGTGCATCCTCTCCTCCGCCGATTAAAGGTAGGCAACGCATATGTAATTTCATATGTCTACGGGCAATGGTCACTGCGCTATTTCAGCGATTTCAGGTGGCCGCTCGCTCATTTGCCACCTTATGATATAAAAAAAACGTTTAAGTATTTTATGATTATATTTAAGTATAGTTCATATATTGAAATGAATTATAATATAATAATTCGCCATAAAATTACTGTGCCTTATGAACAACAATAATGTTTTACAATTTATATTATAATTAATTATTTTATAAAATTAAATATACATCTACTTTATAAAGTAAACTGTTTTATTTTATATATTTTTTAAATTTATAAATATCACACACACTTATGTGTATTCTCATAGTTTGTACGACAGAGGGCGTAAAAGTAAAAATTATGAAATAATAAGTAAAAAGAAAAACTTGCAGTTTAAAAGTAGAATTTATAATATTTTATTTCTTCAAAAAAAATCCTTAATTAAGGAATTAACAAGGTGGTCAATTCATGGTGGAAGAGATTATTAATAAATTTACAAGAAATTATATTTCAATTTGACAATTGGTTTTGTCACATTAACCCAAAACCACAGAGTAGATATAATAAACTTATGTTTTTTTGCCAAAACATATATTCTTTGTTAAAAGTAGATAATAATCTCGATTTCTATAGAAGACAAAAAACAAATTATTACTTTCATCCGAAAATTTAGCTTGATTGGAACATTACATTACTTAACATATTAAAATGGCGGCGTTTGTCCAACTCTTTGATTATTTAAAGCGCATTTGAATGTAATGTCTTTGACCGGCACAAGCTACTTGTCCTGCTTTGCATTGATTTAATTAACAGAGTCAATTAAAACATCGGCGTAATGTTAAATACATTGTTAAAGAAAAAGAAGTTCCATAGACAAAAAAATCATGTAGTCAGGATAAAAACTAAAAAAGTATAATTTGTAAAGTACTGTAGCCTCATCTAAGGCAGATTTAAAAAATGTATATATTTAATTTAAATCAGGACAAAGTATTTCATACTGGTTGAAATTAAAATAAAAACTAGACTTTAAAAAAATTTGAGGTTATCAATTCGTCTATATTTTTTCTCATCACAGAGTCATAGTACATTTGCAACATCTTTAATGCTTTAGGCGGCGATTTATAAATCGAAATGTTGAGTAATCGCTTACTTCTTTCCCAATTCAACGAAATTAAATATTAACCTTTGATTTATCTTCACAAACAACCTTCGTAATCACTTTATTATCGATCATTAGGGGGTTACGTTGACAACATATCGTATTAATGTTAAAGGATATTTTACAGATAAGATTATTACAGAAATTTTTATCTAAGTATTAAGTGGCAACGGTCAAACTATAAATTTTTTAATACCTTTGATATGTTATCTCACAAAGTTAGTAAATTCTATCACTTTGATATGAACATTTATATACCTAAACTTTCTTTAATCCTACTATATGATTACAAATAAAAAGCTGTGAAAAAGAATTATGACTGTGTAAAAATTAATAATTACTCAATTAAAATAGTACAAAATAATATCCAACAAGCAATAAATTTTATCTAGATTTGTATAAACATATTTAAGATCAGAGATTGTAGAGTCGGGCAGAATGGTCAGTAAATATGCAGAATGACGGTAGGTAAACAATAAGCTATACCGAAGTGTATTTATAACTTTAGTCATATTTTTTAGAACTCGATCAATGCGCACATAATAAATGATAATACTGGTTAGTTACGTACAGTGTGATATAGCGCACACTGACAGTTAAACTGCATATTTAATTCCATAATTATTTATAGTGAGCACGGCTCAGCTGTGCCCTCGCGGTCGTTGGCTGAATAAACGCGCGACAGCCCTGCGCGCGCGCTGTCGTTTCTGCGCGGGCCGCGAGACGCGAGTCATCTAGCGCCAACCTACGTTACTACACCGCGCTGTTTTCACTAATTACTACGTTCCACGCGGGAACTTGTTACCGGCCTCGATGACTTGTTTACGCCGTTTCCTATGTTCGCTGTGCAATCACGACATCGTCATTTGACTTTTCAAAAAGCAATAAAAAAAACAACGAAATAAGATTTACGTTTTAAAGTATTTCCATCTGTGATTTGCAAGTGTGTGGTTTTTGGTTTAAAACAGATTAATTTTCGTGTTCAGATAGTTTTAAATTATGATTCGAAGATAAATTATTTGTTTTGGAATTGTTTTTTAAATTTGAACTTGAAGCAGTTTGGAATAAGAGTGAAAATGAGGAGCGACTTGTTGACGCCAAGCGAATTGGAGGGGACGGATTACCTCCTCTCCTCCACGATGAGGCTGGAGGACAGCTTTCTGCAAATACTAGGTAAGTGCTCGCTGTGACTACACTGATACACAGCACATTAACTAAATAAATAAACCAATGCAAAAACAAACAACTTAAGATGTTTATCATAGAGTAGGTATTAAAATGTTAAGTTACAGACTAGTTTAAGGAAATCAGTAATTTAACTCTATCTGTTTTAGAACACTCATGATTTCAGATTAATATTTTAAAGTATGTAAATAAACCAACAATGGTTTCTCCAATTTCTAGATCTCATTTGCATATAATTTTATATATATTGTATGCTAATGTAAATTATGGAAAACAATTTAATGATGATTCCTTTTCTATGTTTCTAGTTTTAACATTTCTTGGATGTTTATAAATGAAGATATAAATCTCTAGGTGAATTTAGGTTTGATATAAAAACAAAAGGTAGAACGACGTAATTTAACAACAATCATTATCAGCTTATGTCAGTCTGCTGTTGGACTCTTCCCCAACAATAACAGTATAATAGTGCGTTTCCACTGCCGAAGCTTCCAAGATAAAACATTCTTGTTTGGGTTTTTTAAAGACAAGCTGTTGAAACATTCATACAAGAATGTAATATGTTTTTCGTCGATAGAAGAAGCCAACGTCCGCCATCAGGTCCCTTTGTCATTTCTCATCATTGTTTCTTTATTAATAACTAGCTATCGCCCTCGATTCTGTCCTCGCAGAATTAAAAAAAACTTAATTAGTAGCCTATGTGTTCCTCCAGACTATGATCTACTACTAAGCTAAATTTCATCGAGATGCTTTCAGCCATTCTGGAGATATCTTCAAACAAACATCCATCCAACCATCCATCCATCTAAACAGTGGAATTTATAATTATAAAATTATAATAATATCTATATCTTCTAAAAATCTACTGCTTGCTGTTCGTTAGTCTAGCTAAAACTCGAGAACGGCTGGACGGAATTTTCTTATCTTGGTCTTGAAATGTTCGTGAAGGTCTAATAAAGTTTTAAAAGGTGTTAAGTTTTTTTTTCATTCCATGGGGACAGAGTCTCAGCGAAAGCTAGTAATTAACAATTATAACATTAATAAGTAAGATAGTAAGTAGTAAGATTAAGTAATAATTTAAAGGTGTTAAAAAAGAAATATAATTTGTGCTTGCAAAGGCGATGTTAATTCTGTATTTAAGATTTTTCACTGTGATAAAACAATATAAAAAAATCCAACACTGTACGACCAATGAAATGTCAACATAAACATAAAGTAAAAGGAAAATACGAAGCATACTGCCAGATAATGTTTAAAAACAAAATAATATTAGCTGTTTTGAATGGAATAAAA